TAACATGCTAACATACTAGCATGCTAACACCCTAACATGCTAACATACTAGCATGCTAACACGCTAACATGCAGACTTTAGCAGGAACCTAACAGCAGATCAGCTTCTAACTGCGTCTCAAATGTCCATTTAAACTGAATCTGTCAGCTACAAAGTGAAGCTCAGCAGCAGGTGATTAATGAGGGAGATTGTGTTTGATTCTGAAAAGATTTCATCCGTTTGTATTTTTTATAAACTATAAATAAACACTATATATGCTACTACTAATAGTAGAACTATAGAAAAACAAGCCTGTACCTGCAGCAGCCTCTCAGCCACCTGCAGGTGTTCTGGGCTAAACTGTGAAACAGGAAGTGCGGGCAGCTTGTTGTCTGTCAGCAGGTAACAGCAGGAAGGTGTCGCCACGCTGCGATGGAGTCTGTCTCTATTAGATGTGCTGATGTCAGAACATGAACTCTGACCCAGCAGGACCTGGACCAGAACCAGACTCACCGCATGAGGCTGATTAATGAGCTCGGTGTCGACACTCAGACACACAAACACACAAACACTATAAATACAACTAATTAGTTACAACCTGCTGCCTTTAAATCCCGAGTTCGGCAGTAATGATAATATATCAAAGCTGCTTTTGGTGAAACTGACAGAAGCAACTTCACACTTTAACCGACAACTTCTGTAGTGACGACGAGGCATTTTCAATTCGTACCAAACTAAATCCTCACTGAGACACCGAAACATACAAATAGTAAAACCAACAAACTTCTATTGATGTCTTAATGAGTGAAAACACACAAATAAAAGCTGCTCGAAATCTGAAATGTTGAGTTCTGCAAGCATAATAATAGAAGCTAGTTCAACCAATCATCTTTTCCGATGAATGTATCAAAACCTTTTCCAGGAAGTAGTAGTTTACCGGAGTTCATTCAGTAATTTGAACTGTGAAATTTGAACTAATTTGAACTAAGTCTCTGCCATGGTGCCTGTTGCTAAGCTAAACTCCTCCAATGCTCTGATACAGCGAAAAGCAGCTCAACATCTACAGCAAACAAAATTTAAACAATTGAAACAAGAGCCACAAAACAACTTATTTAACAGTTCGGATTTGAACATTAACACCAACATGACCTTCCTGTAATCTGAGTGACGCCTCCTCTGGTCTCTACAGTGTTAAATAGTGAGAGGCTCCCCCTGGTGGAACAACCAGGTACTACAGCTAATCTACATGTTCTGACATGCACGACCTTCTTCTTTTTCAGGGGTTTCCTAAGCGTATTTAAAGGGGCTTGTTTTTGAAGTTTTCAGTGCAGAACTGGTTCATTTTTTGCAGAGCAAAACTTGATATCTTAAGTACAACCAACAGCAAACGTATGCAAATCAGCTAAAGTAGCAAAACCCTCAAATCCTTTCTAAACCGTTGTGTCAGCACTGATTGGCTGCAGGTCTGAACTTCACACTGCTGCTAGCAGAGCTGCTTGGTTACTATGGAGAATAAAACAGGGTGCAGTTGAAGAGAAACCCTCCTCAGACAGGAGAAAGGAAGCTGCTGCAGGATGCCATCAGTCTGCAGCCACATTAGCGCATTAGAAGTCCTTCCTGCTTCCTGAGCTGCTTTCTGTGCATTAAGGCTGCAGATGTCATGTTGGATCTACACGTCTTGCTGCTCACAGCCTAATGGACTCCATGAGCACAAGAACATGGCAGGGAGCTCCTTTTACTCCATAAATAATGACTTCATGCGCGACAGAGTCACAGAGATGGGAACCAACCAGAACCTCCGTCTGATCCCTGGGAACCAGCTGGAGAAGCAAAGTTTACCTTCATCCTATGAATATTTTCTATCCAGATCGGAAAGAGACACAAATCCACCACAGAGACGCAAAATAAACACAAGCAGATGCAAAAGCTGCAGC